GCTTAACATTAAGAATAATTCCTTTATTGTTTATTCTTTCTATTATAATCTCTTGATCAAAATAATAATTGCAGGAAAGTGGAGAACAACAATTTATCAGGAGATGTAATGTCTCTGGTCAATTGCCTCAGTCTTACGGTCCTGTAAGTTTGCAATGTAGTTAACATATTAACATGTAATAAAGTAAGACAACTAGAATTGATTGTGAAATCAAATTGTTTTTTGCAGAAATGTATCTTATAATAATCTGGTTGGGGATATTCCTACGGGCAAAAACTTTTCGAGGTTTTCACCAGATAGGTTAGATGATTCCCAAATAATTTTGCCACTTGAGGATTTTCTCTTGTAATATCACAACCGAGCTGCACTAAACAAATATCAACTGACTGAGTATTCCTATCTGGGCCTATTCCAACTAATTTTTTTTGTTCACAGCTTCATAGGAAATCCAGGTCTGTGTGGCTACTGGCTCAGTTCTCCATGCCATGCATCTCATCCAACTGAGCGAGGTAATAATTCCGAGCATGGTAGTTCTTTACTTCTTTTTTCATTGTTAGGTAGAAAACAAGCAGGCACAATTTTTCATGACTTTGTTTTTTAACAGAAGATGAGAGTGGAAGAGCTTACGGCTTAGAACTAGGCCTGGACATGACTTGCTATCTTGTCAGTCATCTATTGATTCAATAGACGTGTCTCAAAACCCATACTTGATCTAGTCTAATGATATTATCTTTCACCTCTCAAATTTCAATCATACAAATAAGCTATAGACTAGAAATCCTTTCGATTGTGAAGCTAATAAAAAGTCTCTCTAGGTTGAGTATGCACTCTTTTCTTTGCAGAATCTAACCATTGGCAATTTCCGGTGCATTTTGGCAGGAAATTTTTTATTATTCTGCTCTAATGTAGCAAGAGAAAAACTTAAATATGTAATGAATGACAGACATGAAGAGAAATTTCTATTCCTGACCAATTGTCATTGTCAGTCATTCTGTAGTTTTAGTGATGGACTGCAGAAGATAGATTCTATTTCATAGTTCCTCAAAGTCGTCATAATTTTGGGAAAAATGGAAAAGATACAAAAATTCTCAGTTTGCCTCGTGAATAATTAATTTTCTCACATTGTCCCCTTAAAAAAATAAAAATATTGCAATGTGATCCATCGTTGTAATTTTTTTTTTTCATTTAGTCATTTGTCTATTGTGTGATTTTTGATTGGTTGATTTGGTGCAAAAAAATAGGTGGACAATCAACGAAAATAAGACGGTAGATCACATTGCAACGTTTTTATTTCTTTGAGGGACAATATGGGAAAATTAATCATTTTGGGGCAAACTGTGCGTTTTTGTATTTTTTAGGGACAAAATGGTATTGACCCTAAATTTTAATCTGTCGAGTGACTTTTCTTCCTTATTTCTTCCTCAGCTTTTCCTCCTCTCATTTCTTCTTCCTCTCTTTCCTTCTCTTCCTTTTCCTTTTCCTTTTCCTTTTTCCCCTTTTCATTTTTTTTAAACTTTTTTATTATTCCTCTCATTCACCTTCTTCTTCTACTCCATTTTGTTTTTATTCCTATCATTCTCCTTCTTCCTCTCTACCAATGTATGCTTATTGTAAAAGAGTACTTTGTAATATTGACTTAGTACTATTCTTCTTCTTCTTCTTTTACTCTTTCACCCTTTTCCTTCCCCTCACTCCTTCCTCCCAATTTTCCTCCCTTTTCTTCATTTTCTCCTCCCATGCTCTTTTCTTCCTCTTCTATTTCTCTTTCTTCTACATCTCTTCCTACTCCTTTTACTTATTTTTCTCCTTCTATTTCTTCTTCTCCTCCTCTTTCATTCTTCTCCTCTTTGTCCTCCCTCTTTTTCTCATTTTCCTTCTCATTGTCCTCTCATCATCGCCATTCGCTTTCTCCTATATTCTTCTTTCTCTCTCTTTTCTTCCTTCTCCTCCCTCCTTCCTCCTCTTAGAAAAGTCTGTCATCAAATCCTAGGGCTCAACCTTGGACTGGCGGTGGAAACTACCAACCTGGAGTACAGTAGGGGCAGAGGAAATTTCCGGTGGAGCAATGAAATGCGTAGAGATCAGAAAGAACACCAACGTCGAAAGCACTCTGCTGGGCCGACATTGACATTGAGAGACGAAAGCTAGGGGAGCGAATGAGATTAGATACCCTAGTAGTCTTAGCCATAAACGATGGATACTTGGCGTTGTGCGTATTGACCACGTTCTGTTGTAAGATATTTCCTTTCATTAGCTATGCGAGGTTAGACCGTGACTGAAAGAAAAGGAGAAGGGACAAGTAGCTTTGATAGCACATAGAAGATTGTTTTTTATAGCACTACTGAACTAGTTGTCACTCACTAACCCTAAATTTTGATCTTTCGAGTGACTTCTTTACTTCTTCTTCTTCTTCTTCTTCCTCAACTTTTCATTTTCTTCTTCCTTTCCTTCTCTTTTTTCTTCTCCTTTTTCACCTTTTCCTTCTCTGATTCTATTTTTGTTTTTGTTTCTTGCAATTCACTAATATTCCTCAAAGTCGTTTTAAATTTGAATCTTTCGAGTGACTGCTCTTCTCTTCTCCTTTTCCTTCTCCTTCTCTCCTTTTTTTTATCCTTCCCCTTTCCATTCTCTTCCTATTTATCCTTCTCTTTCTCCTCCTTTATTCTTCCTCTTGTTTTCCTTTTTCTCCTTTTCATTGTCCTCCTTATTCTTCTTCTCTTTCTCCTCACTTCTTCCTCCTGATTTTTCTACTATTCCTTCTCTTTCCTCTCATTTTCCTTCTCCCTCTTTCCTTCTCTTCTATTTTCTCCTCATTTTTATCCCCTCTACTCCCTCGTCCTTCTCCTTTTTCTTTCTCCCTCTTCTTCATTCTTCTCCCCTATCTTTTCCTCTTACTCCTGTTTTTCATTGTCCTCCTTATCATCCTTCTCTTTCCACCTCCATCCTTCTCTTTTCTACTTCCTTATCCTTTCTACTTCTTCTTCTTCCTCTTCCTTCTATTCCTTTTTCTTAAACTCTTTCTTATTATTCCTCTCCTTCACCTTCTTTTTTTAATATTCCACTTTATTCTTATTCCTATCATTCTCATTTTTCTTCCTCTCCACCAATGTATGCCCATCGTAAAAGAGTATTTTGTAATATTTACTTAGTGCTATTTTTTTTCTTCTTTTACTCCTTCATTATCTTCCTCCTCCTCCTCTTTCTCCTCACTCCTTCTTCCTCCCAATTGTCCTCCCTTTCATTCTTTTTCTTCTCCTGTGCTCCTTTTTCCTCTTCTATTTCTCCTTTTTTTCTGCATCTCTTCCTACTTCTTTTTCTTCTCCCTCTTCTCTTCTCCTCTTTTTCCTCCTTTTTTTCCTTCCCATTGTTCTCCTACTCTTCCCATCATCATTCTCTTTCTCCTCTATCCTCCTCTATCCTTCTTTCTCTCTCTTTTCTTCCTTCTCCTCCCTCCTTTTCCTCCCTACCTTTTCCTCTTTTTTTTTTCTACTCTTTTTTATTGTTTCTCTCTTTCACCTTTTTCTTCTTCTTCTTTCTTCCTATTCCTATCATTCTCCTTCTTCTTTCTTTCCATCAATGTATGCCCATCACAAAAGAGTACTTTGTAATATTGACTTGGTGCTATTATGCTTTTTCTACTCCTGCTTTTCCTTCATTCTTCTTCTTCCTCTCCTTCCTTTTATTTTTTCACCTTCTCCTCCTTCCCCTTTTCCTTCCCCAATTCTGTTTTAGTTTCTGTTTCTCGCAATTCACTGATGTTCCTCGAAGCTGCTATAAATTTTAGAAAAAATTTCATTTCCCCCCTAAAAGATACAAAAATTCTCTGTTTGCCTCATGAATGATTAATTTTTTCACATTACCCCTATAAAACTTATAAAAATGTTGCAATGTGATCCACTATCTTATTTCTTATTTTTTTTTTTATTTGATCGTCCATCTGTTTTGTGATTCCTGATTGTTTGATTTGGTACAAAACAGATGGACGACCAAACCAAAATAAGACGGTGGAATACATTGCAACGTTTTTATTTCTTTGAGGGAACAATGTGGGAAATTAATTATTTGGGAGGTCAAACTGAGCATTTTAGTATCTTTCAAGGGCAAAATGGGATTGATAATAAATTTTGATCTATCAAGTGACTTTTCTTCTCCTTCTTCCTCAGCTTTTTCTCCTCATCTTCCTTCTCCCTCTCCTTCCTTCTTCCCCTTTTCCTTTTCCGTTTCCTTCTCCAATTTTATTTTAGTTTTTGTTTCTTGCAATTCACCAATGTTTCTCACTTCCATTCTCTTCCTTCTTATCCTTCTTTTTTTTCTCTCTCATTCTTTCTCTCGTTTTTCCTCCTTCTCATTCTTATTGTCCTCCTTCGTCTCTTTCTCCTCACTTCTTCCTCCTCCTAATTTTGCTTATTTTCCTTCTCTTTCTCCTTTTATGCACTTTATCCATCTTTTCTCCTCTTCTATTTCCTCCTCCTACTTCTCCTTTTTCTTCTACTCTTTCTTATTATTTGGGTTGTTTCCTCCTCCTTCATTCTTTTCCTCTCTCTTTTCATTTTTCCCTTTCTCCTTATCATCACTCTTTCCCCTCCATCCTACTCCTTCTACTCTTCCTCCTCCTCTTCCTTCTGATTGTCCTCATTCTTCTGTACCACCAGAAATCGCAATTTCAAAGATCAAATGAATAGCAATCCTTATTCATTCTCCTCCGGTGTAACGTGTTGAAGGGACTCACTAAAGATTCCACAAGTGGGATCATCCACTTCCCAAGTTCAACTACTTCAGTGACTATTCAAAAGTCATGGTGTTGTGGCGACATTAAGTCACCATTGATACGTGGTGGCACTATGTAATGACAAACAATAAGTGGTCAAAATGAACTTCATTTTATTGCATAAGTAGTTATTATCTTATATAGATAGGGTATTATTAAACTTTGTAGGATTCGCTTGTCTACTTATATTATTGGGTGGTGACACAACTAATTCCTTGAAGTGGAGGAAAAAGAGAGTGAACAATTGCCTTGATTCATATTGCGATGTAGATTTTATTTCAAGTAAAACGGAGTTACCATCAATACCATGGGATTAAGGTGCTTTTCATTATATTTTTGCTCAATTTTACTCATTGTTGAATTATCTATCATTAAAGCAAGTGGAACCCATTATTTATAAGTGAGCCCCTCACCTCAGACCTAGGGTGTGATCTATTAGGAAAAATGCAATTTGGACTTAAAATGCTTACTTAATTTTTTGACTTCAAGAATCACAATTATTAAATATGTAGTGGGTTTCAATAAATAGTAGGACTCTCAGTTAAATCAATAACAATTTTTGATTAAGTTAACATTTTAAGTTCAAGTAGAATTACTCTATCTAGTGCATAAGATTCCTGATTAACCTGAAATTTCTTGTTTCTAATATCATTGTCTTTTGAGTCCCTTACCATTTTTTAAAGCTCATGATGTGAAATCATCTCTAATACTAATGATCTCTTAAAGAGATCTTGATTAGGATAACTAATTTAGCCAAAGAGAGATAGTTGTACATCATCGCTTATAAAATTTGAATGTACTGCATTGTCCAACAGGGAAGGTATCATTGCTTCTATACCCATCTCCTCTTTTATTTTCATAACCCGAGTAATCCCGTGTGGTGAAGTATACTTCTTCAACCAAGTGCAACCCAGCCTCC